TTTTCGAAATGAAATAATATGTTTGAAACCCAATAATAACGTTTTGCTTAAGAAAAAATAAATTCAATATTGGAATTATGACGGTATTTCAAACAATCGCATAGGATTTTACAAACTCGACACAATAATATCATGTAAGTACAATAATATTATATGATTTATCGTCGACACTGTGTTGCTTATCAAATCAATGTTTTAAATCAAAAACATAATATACAAATGTTTACGGTTACATGGTGATGTTCAATTTTCCCTCTGGAATAACGATGTTATGTACACTTATTTCGTTTAGGTCGAATGAATATCGTAGGATCAGGAACCAGCTCGGAAGGCAATCGTACATCACTTTAGACGTGTCTCGGTGCATTACTATACGCACATATAAACACACACTTACAAACACGAAGTTTTGCGATTTCAATCTTGAAGTCGTAGGCGTTGTTGCGAATAGCAACGGTAATTCTGCGATACCGCGATACTTGTATCCCATTTACTGTGAAATGAGTAGGTACTATTCTATACTTTAGAACGCACTAGTTCCTGAAATTAATTCAATAAACTATACTTCTGAACATAATTTAAAAAATTTTCAGAATGGTTTTTAAAACTTTATATTTTTTAAATTTTGTTCGATGGATCATAATATCATTATATTATATATCGGCAGCTGCACCTATTGCTGCAACTGTATGTGATTATAAATATTTATAATTAAATTTTTTACCGTCACAACAAGACTTTAACGGTATTCCAATTTTGGCTTTGCAGTTTGTAAAAATCTAGACAAGTTGTATGAACTATAAATTTAGAAAATAACGGAATATTACTTAATAAAATAATAAAAGCATAGTATTATTGAATATTAAAGAATCTTTTTCTTTTTATTCAAATCATTCATAAAAAAATGATTATCTACACTGGCAAATCAATAAAAAATATTGTCCACAAATAATTTAATTTAAATCCACTATAATTTTTTAAATATATGTACATTGTACATTCCCCGAAAATTAATTATATACGACTAACTATTGCACACCCTCTTCAGCAGGATGTAACTTTATAAGCTATATTCAACTAACATTTTCGGTTAAATGGATACATTTTAAAAAGGAATGACTGTAAGTTGTGTGAAGTATGATTCGTTAAAAGCAAATAGCGTGAACGAACTTCGTATAGACGATCACTCGAATTATATTATTGTCGTGACGTTTTTCTGGTATATAATATAGTAAACCTGCAATGGTGGAGATTATACCCGGTGGGTAGAAAAAAATCCCATTTCGAGTCGATGTCAGGGATATATTAAGTATAAGCATATTATATTAGGTGTATAAACACTGTTGTATATATATATCTATATAACCACTAACTATATTATATTATTGTTATTTATTATTACAGACGCTTTTCATCTCTGCGCTCGTATGTTGCACGGGAATTCGGAGAAAAAGCTAGTTTAACATCGAAAACTCGGAAAAATTCCACGTACTTGACGTAAAGATACGTGTGGAATACATGTGGTTACGTCGTTTTTCTAAAACCGTGATGGTCTGGCGACAGGGTGACACGTGTCGGAAATCTTATCATACTACCAGACTGTGTATCCTTCGTTTCCGCAGATCCTGCGGATGGGTTGCAGGACGAGTGCAGGACCGACAGGACCAACTGGTCGGAAAATAACGTGCCCAGACAAAAACACACAAACATACACAGTGTGTATTACACGCAAATAATATTATGTAGAAATTGGTCGAATACGTTTCGTTTGCCTCCGTCCTGATATAATATAATATATTATAATATCATAACAAATTAACAACGATGCTCAGACAAAAGCTACAAAATCCATACACTATATACTACACTGACATTTCGCCATGTAAGTGTGTAGATGTGTGTGTGTGTGTGTGTGTGTATTTATATACAAATTTTCGTGTGCAATTAATATGCGTCTATTGTGAGCACGGCGTATTGAAATCGAAAATACACGTATCTATATGTTTATATATAATATGTACATTATGTGTATATAGGTGAACACAATAATATAATATAACTGTATCTAAGTGCATTTATATTTATACATGTGTGTGTGTGTTTGAGTGCGATATCATAATATTATTATACAAAAGACGAAAACCATATTCGCTTGTTTTATATTGTAGTGTTGTAGTAGTTGTACTATTATTATATGTATATTCCTACGTGGTGCGGATTCCATTCGAATGATAGAGGCATTGTCCTGCGGCTGGCCTACAGATACACATTTTCGTGTCGATAATGATATTATTATTATTATTATTATTATCGGTGGCTCGTTCTCACGCCCTTCGCTATAGTCGCTACACAACTCACACACACACTGAAGAGCGCGACAGCGGCAACACTAGTTGTGTGCCCTTTGATTTATTACCGTAATAACATTATTATATTATACAGCGTATAGTATAATAGTCGTTGTACTATGTATAATGTTATACACACATATAGTGTTATTTTAGTATAATAATGTAGTGTACGCCATCAACCCCCTATCCGACATCCCTCTTTATCCACCACACCACTGCACCCCTTCCGAAGCTTTCTGATTGACGGCGAGTTTCAGCCGACGAGCGCATGGAGCCCACGCGATTTTTTAACTTTTCGCTGAAATTTATTATTTCACGTACATTTGGTGGGATTCCGCAGTGAGCTGCTGCGACTCTTTTTCTAATACGTCTTGTTGGTGAGACTATAATTCCTTTTTTTTTTGTTGGTATGTATTAAAACCGGAGGAATTCACGAGGCGCTAAGATTTTTCATCGTTTAATTTAGAAAAAAATATATACATTTTTTATTTTCCTGTGTTGAAGTATGCGGCCTGTTTTGTGAAAAAAAAAATGTTTATGTAACGCGTTGTGTTTTTTCAACAACTATGTGAAAAAACTTCCAAAAACACTGAAAACGACAATAAAGAACGAAATACGTCCTTATACAGATAACGGCGTATTATTATAATACCTACGTATTTGTCTGTTGGTAAAAAAAACATAATATTTTGTTTTGTCACAGAAATCGTTATTAAAATATAATAATATGTAATGTGTAAAATATTGTTTAAACAAGTACATTGAATTAACATCGGTAATATATAATTATAATGTCCATTTTATTAAATGGATGTTAAATTCATATTTTGAAAATCATTTTTCAAAATAATCCTCAACAAAAACATTAGACATTTTTTTAATAGCGGTAATCGGGTAATGCCATTAAGAACTGACGAAAACTTCAAAAAAACTTTTAATTTAAATTTTATTTTAATTAAGAACGTTGAATATTGCTTTCAACCAACTTTTTTTTAAGGTTTCTGGTGCAATCGTATACCTTAAACCGAGTTTTGTAATAATTGTAGAGATCTGTGTTTTTTTTTTATATTTTAATTTTGAATGATATTTTTCCACTTACAGCTATGTAATTAATTTTCCTAAACATATATTTAATCAATTATGTCAAATGTGAAATCAATGCAAAAACAATAAGTATTAGTTTTATTAATGGTTAAACGAACTTAAAAAATCAGATTATAAAAAGATCAATTAGCACAAGATACAAAAAATAAGTTTTTTTAATTTGAAAGGATATTTAATTCAAAGAATAATGGAATAGGTTTAAAGCGTCTGCAATTCTACTCACATTGTTCAATGAGTTATGAGGAATTGAAAAAAAAAACAAGTGACGCCATTGGGGCGAGCTCGTCGTAATTGCCTATCTTATACGTGTAAATTGTAAACGCTTCACACAATAATTAATCTACCTTTTAAATATATTTTATAATTTTTGTTGTACGTATTTGGTGGGTTTTTATGTACTGAAAACGTAAGTGGAATCAGAATTTTTTTTTTAAAGTTTAGTTCTTTTTAAAAATATTTTAAAAATGTGTATTATATAAATAGATGCACTACTCAGTTGTAACTATACGTTATTAAAATTCTGATACTTCTACAATTACGTAGTTCTAATAAATCAAGTATCAAAAATAAAATGTTTGGGTTGGAAAAATAATTGTGTTACACGACTAACTTAACGCGTAAGATAGGCGATTATGTCGAGTTCGGCCCAGTGATGTATGCCTCATGCGGACATGCGGTTATTCTAGATATCCCAATATCTTCTCAAATAATTTTTTTTTTAGATTGGACTTAAAACAAATCGTTTTTAGTAGTTCTGATTACAATTATTTAGCATTTATTAATAATTTGAAGACATTTTTTTGTGTGTTGTGTGCTTTAAGCTTATGATTTTGACTCAGAATACGGTCATTTTATCAATATTTATTAATGTTGTTTTAAATAATATCTGTTTTTTTTTTGTCATTAAAAATATAAAAACAAATTAAATATCACAACTATCAGCCACCGGCCATCGTTAGTTATTTATTTTTGAGTTTAAGTTGTAGGTACGTTCTAGTACATTTTCTAGTGTATGTATAGTGTATTATAATGGTATAAATTGAGTTTAGTTCAAGTAGATAATATTACACTATGCGTCTATGGTATAAACAACCTAGTATGCTATATGCTAGATATATAGTATCATGACTATTATCGTGTGATAAAAACTTGATAGCGCTTATACCTAGTAAAAAAGTTCTTTTAGTAGGTACTAGGTAGTATATATATGAGTAAATACATTGCTCGTTCACGATTAGTTCTAAATTTTCCTGATAATAATTATTGTATTACTGTAAATCGAAACAAATTTTGATCTGACTAGTCAATGTATAACACTGCCTTAAAGTGCATTTACACCTATATCTTACCTTACCCGATAAGAGTGGTCAAGAACCATGTCCTAAATGTGTGTGTGTGTGTGTGCGTAAACCAATATTATATTAAATAATAATATCTACGATGAAAATAGTATTATGGTCAATATATATATTATAGTCAATGGATGGGATCGGACGTGTAGAAGATCTTTTAAGACCATGGTTATGGGATAAAAAGTACAAGAAGTCGATAAAAAATGTTTTATTATTTATATATTTATATGCAGGTATAGAAAAAGAAGGGAAGACTATGCAATAGAGTATACAATATGTTACTCGATCAGCGTGGGGACGGGCGGTGTTTGCAGATCATTAAACGTGGTGAACGGGAATGTTGGTGCCTGCGGCTTTGAAACCTTCGGCTCCAGCGGAGTAGTGGACAGCCTGGACTGAACCGTGATCATCTACGTACGAGTAGCTTCCTTTGGTCTCACCGTCGGCGTAACGGGTCTCGGTCTTGGCGGATGAACCGTCAGTGTAACCGTAAGTGTACTGACCGTGTTCGTCTTGTGCGTGGAACTGGCTCTTGGCCGGGGCCACTGCTACGGCTGGGGCGTAAACGTGTGGTTCCGGTGCAGCGTAGACGGTGTGTGGAGCTGGTGCGGCGTAGACGGTGTGTGGGGCCGGGGCGGCGTAGACCTGTGGGGCTGGTTCGGCGTAGACGTGTGCGGCTGGTGCGGCGTAAGCGAGCACTGGGGCCACAGCCGGTTCGTGGTGGCGGGTGACGCTGGTGTAGGAAGTAGCGACCGGAGCGGGTGCTGGGGCGGCGGCCAAGTAGTACGGGGATGGGGCGGCCAAATGGTGGACGATTGGCGCTGGTGGGGCGGCGAATTCGGTGTGCTTGACGGTGACGACGTGAGCGGGGGCGGCGGAGTAACCGGAAACCAGTGAGGGGTAGAGTCCAGCGCTACGCTTCTTACGGGCGGCCAGGAGGACGGCGTGTTCTGGGTAGTGGACGTTGGAAGTGCTGGCGGGTGTCAACGGCTGGGCGAGCTTGATCAGTGGGTGAGCGGCGGGCACGTAGTACGACGGGCTCTTGACTATGACTGGCGCGGCAGCTTCGTGGTGGTGGACAACGCTGGAGTAGGAAGTGGCGACTGGAAGTGGTGCTGGGGCAGCAGCCAAGTAGTATGGGGATGGCACTTCGGCGTGGCGGACGACCGGAACTTCGGCGTGGTGGACGACCGGCAAAGCGGCGTGGTGAGCGGTGTTAGAGTCTGCTGGCAGATTGGTGCCGCTCACGCGGAAACCGTTGACCGGGTCGGACACGTAGGCCAAAGACTGGACGAGACCGTTGGCGTCCACGTACGAGTAACCTCCGCTGGTCACACCGTCGGCGGTGCGCTGTTCGTGCTTGGACGATGGGCCACCGGAGTAACCGTAAGCGTACTGGCCCAATTCATCTTGGGAGTGGTATTGGGTGGTGGCCGGTGCGTGGTGCACTGGGATTGGGTACACTGCGCTTCCGCTGACGACTGCAACGACCGCTGCTGCGAATAACTGCAAAAATAAAAAAACACACGAAATCAGAAACGTACATTTTTAGCGGAGTATTATGGGTACTCGGTCCAGTCAGTTTGGGATCAAATTTAAACTCTAAAGTGGATCGGAGGAAATCGGTCACCACAACAATAAGCTACTGTCACGTGTAATAACGTAGTCAAAGACACGTTTTCGTCAAAATTACCCTGCAGAGCGAGACTCGCATTTTCCCGTCCGCTATATTTACGCACAAATACGACCAGATATTATTGATATACATTATTATAGGTAGGTACCTAAGAGGTATGAGAGGGTATTGTGGTACAACGAGCTCATCGATGTCGATATTCGGCGAACCGCGAAAAATGTTCGATAATAATATTATAAGCGATGGAAAAAAGTGATATTATTACCACGTGGGGTAATGTATTGGGTGCACTGTACCTACATGTGGTATAACACTGATTTCGTGTGGCATTATTTTACGAGTGCAAATCATAATAACATTTTCGACTTTTATAACAAACGCCTACAAACAAACTATACTCGTCGAATTGATAAGCGACAGAGAAGGGTTGTGGGAGGGACCAAAGGGTGTGAGTTTTATTTTTTCCTTGTGCTTGTTTGATGAGAGACCCCGCGTGGTACACAATATCGTCTATTGCTTGTTTTTAACCCTAACCTAACTAACCTATGATTGAGACTGCACCGGAAAACACGTTTGCAGGAACCGCCAGAAAAGAAAATATATGTTCGTCTTGCTCGTTTTCCGGGTCGTATGTCACAACATTGTATTGTATTTTTTTACACGTCAGAATATGTGCCTAAATATATTATTACCGGATTGTACATATTATAATGTAGAAACGTTCACGAATCTCCGGCGGCGTCTAAAACGACTCGAGGCCGCGAGTACAAGAGCACACTCACATACTTACACATGTGCAGCGGCACAGAGCGAGCAATGCAACTGCTTGAACTTTGATGATAAACCGCACACACTCTTCAGACCGCGACGACGACGGAAATACCGCCTCGTTTAAATTATAAGCAAACATTAGACGCACAGACGCCACAAGCAATTTCAAAGAATAATGGCGGCGCTTAGAGGCCGAGGTGATTTTTAAGCCGATTTTCGACTGCGAGATTAATTATTATTTCCACCGCAGCGCCGCCGCCGTTCACGTGAATGCATAATATTATGTAAGCGGGGACGTAATCGAAAAACACCCCTCAAAGCTGCACACCGCTCCAAGGCGGGTCTTGTTGCAGGCCCGTCCTCGAATTAAATATGCATAATAATAATAATAAATGAAAGTTATAATAAAATATGCGGTTGCGAACGTGCATACTAGCGAATAGAAAACGCATCACCTGTGGCGAGTGCTGGGGAACTTATCACCCCCCCCCCCCCAAAAAAAAAAAAAATAAAAAGATAAAAATAACACCAACTCGAAATTGTTGAAGATCGTTTATCCTTCTTTTTAGAATATGAAATTTTCCTGGTTCTATTTAAAGTAGAATAAAAATTCAGGCTTTGATAAGACCTGAAAAAAGTTCTCATTTTTAAAAAAAAAAAAATAATTATAATTTGGCCGTAGCTGGTTCTATGTGTGCCTTGTATCTCACGGCGGATCGTTGTGATGGCTGCAGTAAGCTGGCTATGAGGTTGTATTGTACAGTATAAACCTTCGTCAAGATGTCGAAGTAATTTAAAGAAAACAATAAACTTTGAGATATAGAGTATTACGTCATAATGCGATGGTAATTATTTCAAAGAGATTTTGATTGAGTTTGAGAAAAAATGGAGGTATTGGGACGTTCGACGTTTAAATACGAACTGTGCTGTACCTATACTTGTATGATCAAAGTCTAAAATCATATGTATAATATTGTATGACTAACACATAAAGTATTGAATAAAGACATAATATGTTTGGAATACTAGACGATTAATGATGGCAGGTGGATGGTGGTTGGTAAATGTATAGGTTTGTCCCTGCACGTGAAGAAAAATGATTTGTTTCTCGCACTCTTAAAACCGAAAAGCCTGTCAGATCTTTTTCTAAGAATTGTAGTTTACTATGTTCAATGTGTGTCAAAGGCGTATAATGCTAATAATAATAATATAACAACGTTTTACACTCACCAATAGACTGGAATTCATTTTTCTTGTTGTTTTGAACGACTTCGTTGTCTTCTAGAAACGTGAAACACGAGACCACTAAGACTCAGATAAACGCACTAAATCGTAATCGCACAACCGTAGTTAGAAGTACTAGGACTGTCGATCGACAATGCTGTGTTGATCGGTTGGGTACCGCATGGGTATTTATACACGATTTCTGGACGAAAAAAAATCGTTTTGACCTTAGTCGCGCGCTGCGGTGGCGGTATAACATAGTAATAATAATTATTATTATAGGCGTCGGTCACGCGGAAGTCGCCCCGGGGACACGACGCGGCTTTGAGGACAATGATACGATATATTGTGGCCCGACCCTGCCCTTTTGTGCCCGACAATCTCGCCCGACGTGCCCACTCTCGTTGTCCGTTCGCTCCGTCACCCTTTACATTCGTGGCCAGCCGCGGTCACCCGTCGTCGTCCGGACCGGAGTATCGAGTAGGTGCACAAACCCGCGTATGCTGCAGCCGCGCCGGTCAGTCTCCGATTCGGATAATATGTTATAATAATAATAATATTATAATGTATGAGACGGATTTTTGCTTATTTTCAAAAAGTCATCTTTAAGTCCCTAATCGCGATCGACTTTTGTGTTATCAAAAATTACGATAAAAAATATTTCGTTATCTCGATTACATTTCTTTTTTTACTATTTCGAGTTTCGTGGTTCAATGTAATTCGACACACATGTTTATGCAAACAAGCAATTTTAGAGTATAAAGTTAATAATGTTTGTGAATTTATTTTTTCAAAAAAGCTTGTAGGTAAAAAATATAAAAATTTAATATTATATAGGTAGTTAAATAAACGTTTTTTTCATAAATACGACAATTTAAATATGTTTAATTATAGTGTTTAGTTTAAATTCCATCTTGTATATTAATAGTATACATTCGTCGATTGCAGAGCCCTCAACATACATAACTCTTATTGGAAAATAACTCTTATTAACTTAAAAATATAACTTTGATACAACCTGCATGATATATTAACGGTTTAGTCTCAATGCATTAAATACTAAATCAATAGATGACCAATTTTCGACAACTCGGATAAAATATGATATTTGGTCGTCGCATGTTCTACATTGCTTCATATTAAAATATAAAACCAATACATTTCGACGACTTGAGTTTTATTTTCATTGTTCAATATGGTATTCAGTTAAACGTTTGAGATAATCGCGGTGCACACTCATTTTAAACTCTTTTCGTACTTAAGTATTACAGACAATCGAAAATTTGTAAGACTCAAAATAAATGTATTTTAATAGGTTAGGTTAGTGGTTTTTTAATATAAAACTTTGTCCAATAATTTGGTATTCCTCGTAGAATCCCTTGTACGATTAACAATATTCTGGATAGCTCAGTACTATATTGATATAACATAGTATACAAGAGTTGTATCGATTTAAACGATTTATTATATTTACAGGAAAAATATTCGATCGTATGATAAGTCGATCGAAGTTCAAACAAAAAGTTTTCGTTACTTTTTGATAATTTTATATTTGAAAAGCGTCTATTTAAACTTATAGCCATTAGGTATAACATACAGTTGTCACGAGTTATAATTATATTTAATCATCTTTCACATTTATAATAGTTATTGACTGTTTCGTAATAATAAAATACTGCAATGTGCGAACTTGTACATATTATTATAGTACTTACATTATTGTGTTTATTATTAAATGGATAAACTGAAGTCATACTTGTTATTATACTGTAACTATAAGTCAATAAAATATTGTTATTATTATTATTATTATTGATGCAAAATTATTCTTCAAATCGACTGTGAGTAAGAACCGTGTACTATTGTCTATTTATACGCAGTGCAGTAAGTATATTGTACTATTATTTTTGTACACATAACACTTTACTTTTATTGTAATAGTCTTTGCAAGCTTTCTCGCATTAAACATTGCTTTAAACGCTTATTATTTTTTTTTGTGGAAATATTGAAGGAAAGTCCGATATTCATTTAAAACTAAACAAAGGTGGGTGTACAAACTGCAAATTGTATAACTACGGTTTAGAAGACATAATATCACGCAATAAATTAAACGCAAATATAGAACTAGTAACTAGGCATGTAATAATTGTATAGATTAATTTTAGATTCTTTAAGCGATGGAATCTATTGATTTTACAATGATGGGTGTGTGTGTGTGTGTGTGTGTGTGTTTTGTTTGTGTTTGGAAACACTTATTTTTCTAGTAAGAAGATGCCATGGACTTTAACTTTGATGGAGGTTTTTGGTATTTTTGGGAGGAACAATTTGAAAAATCAAAATACTTTTAAAATAATCGGGGGAAAAAAAATAAGAAAACTTGCTAAAATTCAAATAATTTTTTTGTAACTAAGATTGTATTAAGTTATTTTTATTCAATCGTGTAGAAAATCGTAATATAAGGTTCTTCATAAGTTGTTATTAAATCTATTTAAAAATATTAAAGATACATAAGTGCGAATATTTTTATAAACATTTAAATTTCAAATTTTAACAAAATTCGTAAAAACCACTAACATTTCATAATTATTTTGCAATTAAAAATGTATAAAATGTTACATTTTTATAGTTAAGGTATATAAGGGTAATACAAGATTTTTCGTAAGTAGCTTAGCGTTTTAGTATATTTATTTTAAACACATAATAATATAGACAATACAGGTATACAGGTTAACATATAGTTCAATACTACTATCCATAATTTTTAGTTTATACTGTAATCAAAAATCACTGCTAAAGTCTTAGTATAATAGGAATGCAAATTCAATGTTTTTTGAAAAAATGAATTTCAACCTACCTAACTATTATTACTAATGGCAATATTTATAAATGCAATATAATATATCCTAGGCTGTTTCACCGTCTTCGCTCAGCATGGTTTTTGTATGCAATGAAATGTCATTGAATTCAAATTTAACACATCTATCATACTAGATAAATTGTCAATTTCGACTCTTCAAAACATAAACATTATTGACGTATTTAATTTCTGTTCAAAAGTTCGAATTAAGTACATTGTTTAGACTTCCATCGGAGTCCATGCAGGTAATTGATCATAAGACGACAAAAACATTTTCTTCGTGTTCACATATTTCAAACTGTTAAGTGTCGCCTTCTGAGGTAAATAAACTTTCAAAATTATACTGCAAATATATTAATATGAAAACTGAAAAGTCCGGACCCCAACATTTTGTGTATATTTTAGTATTTTTACTGTATTGACTATGGAGCCCCACCCGGCACGGGCACAGCAACTAAAACGCTTCGCATCACAACCCATTCAAAAACTTATCACTCCGTGATTCAAACTTCAAAACAATTTATGGCAGCAATTAAATTACCAAAATTACCATCTAGTCGGCACTAACGACAAAAGCAATAGAACGAGAAGCCATAACAACATATTATGACATTAAATATTTGTTCTGAATATGGCACATTTAAAGAAGTGCTCAAGGCTATAATACGATTTAAATAGATTTGGTACAATTTATAGTATAGGTGTTACGATAGTTTTCCTAATCAGTTATCGCTGTTTGAAAAAAATTCTGAAATGAATTTATACATAATATAACCAACTAAAAAAACATAATATATTAGTGATTTGACCGAAGAGTTAAAACAAATCTATAAACATTTAAAATGCTGAATAAGTGTGAAGTAAACCTTAAATTAACTATGTATAAAACGAAAAAAACCCTCAATTCCTGGTATTGTTTCACAAAAAGAAAATTTAAAAAAAATTGAATGAATATTTTTTTTAGAACTCATCAAATGTAGTTACACTGCTTCTGATGTGTTCCCGTGCATTCGAAATCGACGTTCCAGAAAACGATTCTTTAAGCTTCAGTCTTAATCGAATATTCATATTATATGGACCAACATCAAAGAAGCCGGTTCTATTGAACGTGTTCTTTCAAATCACCGCGATGTTTATTACTTGAAAGTGTACACAATAATTATAATCGAAATGTGTCCTTAGAATATTATATTACTATATATTAGATAGGTAGTGCTTAAACAAATTAATACGTTCGGTTTAACAGTATTATTAACGCTTGTACCCTTAAGACTGCACATTTCCTATAATAAGTTTTTAGAGAGTCCTTCGATTACATTTACAAATTGATAAATCGATACAAATCGTTGTGCATAAGCAACTGTACAGCTTTACATTTCATATACCGCTGACCAATCATTAAGCGTAAGTATAAAATAATATATTATGTTTACATTGAGAACCTTCACTTTCATTATTTTTATAGCACCTAACTATAACTATACTCATGAGTGATTGTCTGATTTTATCCGGTTTTTATTTTATCGGTAGGTATAACTATAATACATGTGCTGTGTCGTTCGAATTAAATTCATATTTATTTTTGATTTTATTGTGCTGTTTATTTCAAGCTGCTCGACATGTATATGTGTAATACATATACATAATACTATATTCAATACATCATAAAAATATATGATACATCTGTAGAAAAATAAAACCGAAATAATAACAATGTATAGCAACATTATGTTGGCCACTTTAAAAAAAATATCTTTGAACAATGTTTCGTATGGTAATTATTTACTTAGCAGATATATCTACTGTATCAATGATAGTACAAACTTGTCGAAATACGATTAGCAGATTAGGCACTTTTATAATCCATAATTGGTATATATCTATACAGCACAAATATGTATATAATTGTAATTTTCGTAATTTGCATAATTCAACATAATATTATTTTTGTGTTCCGAAATCAAATCGCATGCTATGTTTTTAATTATTCTACATAATATATACTATCCTTTATATTATAATATAACATAAGTAAATATATGTAATTAGGAACATGCATATTATTAGTACACTGTACTATAATGGACGATAATTATTACGAAATAAGGGCGTTTATTTAAGTACTTTATAATACGAAAAAACTTTGAATAGAATATTTCACGAACGAAAAAGTCGGAAACATTAAAACCTTAAAATATACGTATAAAACAAAATGTTGTTTCTATGACGGTTTTTAATTTTTATTTATTTTTCGTGTCTTATTAATCGATTGACTGTATATTGTAGGTACCTACATAATATAGCATACAATGATATGAAGCTTTTTTTTCTTACCATCGTGTTTCTAAAATCAATGCATTCACACGCTAAGCGTGATGTACAACAGCTTACACATTTCCTCTTGGCTTAAATTATTTTTTTTTCTTGGTGTGGAGGAGGGTGACCACCATTCATTCACTTGAATAGTTCATTTCTGGCTCATATTTATATCATAATTTCACTCATATTGACTTGCCTGGTTTAACGGTTACTACCTAATGATACAAATTTGTTACAAATGTATTTTGTTAGGAAATCGGCTCTTTTATAAATCTAGTCTAGAGGTATAACGAAGTGCATCTCAAAAGAGAGAGAGAGAAACACACACACTCACACACACCCACACACACACACACACACATACATTATAAAAAGCCATCGCCGTCCAAGAGGGTAATAATAAGACGTGTTTGGTTTGTTGCGGCGTTCTACAAGCAAAACAATTAAATAAAATATGTTTATATGGTGATAGTTGTTGCGTTTGAAAATATTATAAAATAAAATGGTAAATTTTACGCGTTTAGTCTTTCGACACTAATCTTTCGTGTAAATCGGATCTCATTTGAATACGAGAAACCTACATGCGATATCACAGCAGTACAGTATACGCGTTTTCACATCGCGTGGAGACCATAGGTAATATTGCTATGCAGACCTGTATATTATATAGGTGTCCATAATACATATATTATATTATATTATAATATGTATTGTACGACATACACATGATGATTTAAGTAATATATTATAATATATATCATGTTTTGAATAAAATCCATCAGGCACGATCTGTGCATTGTACACGCGACTCTACATTCGTATATACTCATCCACTTCGAATCGACTCCGATCCCATAACCGGCACGTAGGACATATAATATGTAATATCTGTACCTACACAACGGCCCTGCCGAGAATGATTATAATATTATTATATGTATGCCTATCGTTTCGCGTTACACACACACACACACACACACACACACAATACAATAAAGGCGCGAGTATACATAACAATATAATATTATTATTATATCTGCCGCCCCTCCGGTCCTCGGTCCATCGTAATATATGTATAGTGTGTACACTGGCACGGGCAATATATATGTAAATCGGCTCGTGAAAAATGACTTTTCCCAATTCTGCTCCGCGGAGTGGTACACAACAACAACAACAATAATAATAATAATAATTATTATTATTATTATTTAGATTTTCAGGTCTCGCGGTGTTGCATCCGGCGGAGGTGTGTCAATTTAATATTATATTATATTATACACCCATGTTACAGGACGGTGATCGGAAAGCGTTGCACTGGCGGTCGGCCGAACGAAACATTTAGGAGACGACGACGACGAAAAAAAGCGAGGGCGGACGACGGAACTCATAGCGGTCGAGAAATAATAATAATAATAACAAATATCGGTGCGAAATCCCGTGCAAAGTGCATTGTTGTGTAGTGCAAGCGCCGAACGATATAATGTTATTCAATATAATAATATGTTGTAATAGTAATAATAACTGCCGCGATAATCATATGCTGCGATATATATATAATATACGCGGGGCACGTGCAGACACCTGTGCCTCACCGAAAGAGCTTACTATAAATTATCGTTGTGGGGTACCTAGTACCTACGCCTATAAAATAATATAATATATTATTGTTTATATCACGTGATATATCATTATTGTATGTTGTGTCGTCGTCGTAGTCGTCGTGTATCGTAGAAACATTTTTCGAAAACGTTTCGTCTCGCTCGAGAGCGGGGGCGGCGGGCGGGCGTGGTCGCGATACGATCGCGTATAACATTCTATCCGTATAATATGTGTATTAGCCGCAGGTTGTCGATCATCGCTCGGAAAAGCTTTGTTGTGACGATTATGCAGTGCTAGCGACGACGTTTAACAACAACAACGGTATTATTTATGTATAGGCACCTAACATTCCGAAACGACGAGAATCCGAAGTTTTGGACGCGGACTTTTCACCGGTACCTGCGTCACGCTCGTCGTCGAGGTTGTTTAATTTTTATAAAAAATATCGATTGTTTTGTGCGACCTACAACGTTATGGCATGCGAATAAGCTGAAGAACGTTGGTCGTACAACGACGGTATAATATGTTAGAAATCAAACGTTTCAACATTGCAATGTACCTGTTAATATTCAACTGCAGCTGCAGTCGTCGCAAACAAAATAATACGATATTATCGTGAACTCGCGTTAGATAATATTTTATTAAGATCTTATGGATTTTATTGAGGTTCAGTATATGACTCGAATAAGGCATCACGATTCAAGACAACTTGAGCTGATTTTTGTCAAAACCCTAACCTTGTTTGTACAGCTAGTACCTATTCTTAGAGATTTGGCGAGTGACGTCACACCCCTACGACAGTGGCATTGTCCTCTACCACCACTACCCGCAGCAGCGTCACATCCACTGCCACGGCCGAGTATTTATTATATTTTTATGTTAAACTAATGGGTAGTATGCATCACGCGAGTAAAACCGGATCTTCAACCCTTCCGACTTTCAACCCACTGGGTGAGTACGTAACACCACTGCAACAGCGCCCAATAATCGTTTGTTTACAATATTATATTACAGTGACTGATAAAATCCGAACCAATTCCGCACGGTCCCAACTTCGGCGGCAGCGATTGGCTCTGTGTATCATAAAATATAATATCATCCCGCATCCTAGGCAGGAGTGCAAAAACACACAGATCTGCTGCAGGACCCACGACCGCGAATCCTTAACCCGACCGCAGTGGCAGTAAGTCTTCGTGCAGTAGCGCAGAGTGTATAACAGATACGATTTTTCTCTCGCACCTCCCTGCAGTGACTTCATAACATGCGGAGAAGGGTTGAAATATAATAATATAGTTTCGGCGCGTGCACGCGATACAGTAATATTACTAGGAAACACTTTCGTCCCGCATATTTTGGATAATCCGTCCTGTATGAACCTTCCATTAAAGTTTTTTCAACAATTAAATTTTGTCTTATTTAGCATTTTAAAATTCAAACGACAATAATAATATCTATATAAACACATCCTTGATGTTTATTTTAATTATATTTCTACCTAATGGATAATTTGTTTGATTCAAAACGTGGAAAAATAAATCTAATTAAGGGTATAGCCGCGTAGGTATATATGATTTAAAAGGTTTCAAATTTTTGAAAATCAGTCTGAGATCCCTATAAGTCATAATATTATCATCACAGCTGCGGGTGAGCAAACTCTACAGCCGACGACCGAACCGGCGTGTCTGCAGTATACCTTAGGTATTCCTATAACAATGTGACGGCGGTAATCATCAAGTGATTTAAAACTTGGCTCGAAGAATGCGCGGTCGTCGCAGTCGGCGGCGAGTATACCGCGGTCGCGGTCGCGGTACGTACATATATATATATAAATATAATACGGTTGAAAGTTTAATCTCGGGGCACGATCGTCTCGTAATAGCATTACAACTCACGTCGTATAATATTACCTGTGCGTGTGTACGTGCGTGCGTGTAATATTGTAATATTCTCACCGCGGTACGAATCGAAAACCGGCAATGATTATAATATATTATTACTATTATTGTTATTATCGCAGCAACGACGTGTACACTATTATAGCTGTTCAGACGCACCCGTGATATGATATTGTAGTATTATCCACACACACGACGTGTGTTGTGGGTACGCGGACTTAATGACACACGGGTTGGTGTACATAGAGTGTGTGGTGTTGCAGTTGAAGCACCATCAGCAGCAGTGGCTGCAAACATAATAACACCCTAGTGCAGGTCGTCTCCCGCCGCCACTGCAGCCGCTCTCGCAACCGATGCTGCACACGTATATCATAGGTACTGCATTATACCAGGTATAGGTTTTATACCTAAATATATCGTATGAATTGTGCATTATGATTATTTTATTGTTATTATTATAGCAGCATACGTCGTGCACACCGACACCGCGTGCGATATATTTAGTTTGTGTACACGATTTCCTAGAGCCAATATAATAATATAATGACTTTAATATAATATATATATATTACATACGTATGTGTGTATTTTTATTTTTTTTTTTGGTTTCTATCCATTCGAATGTTGCTGCGCGTCGGAAAAAGTAAATAAAACTCGCGAGTGCCCTTCGTATTATAATATGCAAGCGTGTACCTACCTACCTGTATATGTATATAAGGTACACGGTATAACCCAACTACACGTACACACATTTTATGTGTGTACAGACGAAAAAAAAGATTTCCCTTCCACTCATATCGTATCATATTGTGCTCACTTCTGTGTCTCTACCCAGCCCAATATAATAGTTGGCCGCCATATTGCTACAGCTGCAGTCGACGTCGTCAAAATCCGTTTTTAAGGTAAATACATATCGTTTTGAGCGAAGCAACACGACGGTTCTAGCGGTTTGCTAATATACAGGTAATCCGAGAAGAAAGATGACATTGTCGTTCGTTTTTTTTTTTTTTTCAGTGATCGTCAAAGGAGAAAATATCGTATGTAAGACTGGAGTATGTACCGCGTACGTATAATATTTAGTATAATGGAGTTTGGAACTTTTTATATAAAATTTACTCGTATTGTAATATTTGTGATTTGGTTGTTAACGATTGTCAGGCCTTCAGACTTTCAAAGCTTGGCCACCTTCCAGTGGTCACAACTAAATCATTATCGCTGCGAACTGCTTGCGAGATCGTTAAAATATGGACACAAAATGGTGTACACGCACAGAAATAATCATTATCCATGAAATATTAAATCAAACAAATATTTACCATATTTTAATGGAATATTATTATTGTTTATATTTTATGGTTTTTCTTTCAATGATTTGTTTAAAGAGTTTACTTATATTAAATCGGTAAATATTTATAATTTACATTTTACTACATTAAAGTTCTCTACGGGTGTTCGGCCTTCGCGCCAAAATGCACATAAATCCCACAACAAATACCGCCCAAGATGTGTAACATAGTCAATCCATAATATTTTAGAGAGAAAAAACTGCACGTCATAAATATATATATATATTATTATAATATTTTTTGACCGGGTCGTTTCAGGTCATTGATAGACGAAATAAATGTGCATGTTTCGTGAATATCTCTATATTATGAAAAAAAAACTAAATCTTTTTTAAAAAAAAAAGTATAATGTTCAACAATATCTTTTCACTGCTCGGAATTTGCGAAAATATTCAAATGATGGATCGTAATTTATCTATGAATAATAATAATAATGATATAAAAACGTGAATAGAAATCGTCGGCAATAAAATTAAAACCGAAGCTAATGCATCAATGTCGTCTTCGTCGTCGCCGCCACTGAATGGTATTATAAAATATATTCTTAAACATAATATCACAACAACTGTCGATTTTCTTGTAAACTAAAAAAAAAATTCAAATTTTTCCACACGTTTGACTTGTCGTACACGTTATCGTGGTCCACAACACATACCTTAAACATACATATTTATATATTATTACATTGGACATTTACGCTTAAATAATGTTGGCAGGTAATTGCAATTCGAAAATAAATAATATTATACCTCCTCCTCCTCCAGTCCCCTCCTATAGCTATCCTTTGCCGATGGAGATAATTGTATAGTTTTTAGTCCGTTCATTATTAAAACACCATAATAATAATAATAATAATATGTACACAATTACATAAATATAACCTTCTCGAGTTGTTGCTCTCCGCTCGTAATGTAATACAACATGTATGCATATTATGTACATAATAATATTGAGGTATGTGTATCGACACAGTGGTCGTAGTAGTGTTACAACGAACTAAAACTCGCACGCAACCGTTTTGCTCTTTATTATTGTGTGTGTGTGTGTGTGTGTGTCTGTCGTCCGTAGCCTCCATCCGCGTGTGACGTATACCGCGGTCCGCGACTATTATTATTATAGAGATTGGATTATGCTACATTTCACTGCCGCTGCGGCTACCACGGTAACCCGGGCCGGAGGTCGTCTGGTTACAGAGGTATATCCGAATCGCCTCCGATCACCCGAGATGTTTAATATCGTGTGTGTGCCTACGTAACAGTGGCGACCGTCACGGTCAACCTATTTAAACGAGTGTGACGTGTCCCGTAGCACGCGAACGTCCCGTTGCTAATTGTTTTGAGTTTATGACAGACGTAACAGTATAGGCATAATAAGGGCAGTCGACATTAAAATAATATTATATGATTAGTGGAAGAACAAAAGTAAAAAAAAAAAAAATCTATAGCGAACGATCAAACGAATACAATAATAATATGTTATCGTTGGCGGCTAGGTACGTAAAAAAGTTGGGCACATAAAAAACCGAAACCGCGTGCGCACCGACATCCGCGGCAGGCTAGACCCGCACGCATCAGATGTAGGCACGCGCGTTGACGGTGCTCGTCTTCCGCGTACGATCGCGTTTTTGTGTCGACGTCCGTGTACCACGATATCCATTATAATGATGATATCACGTGCGTAATGCACACCGGAAGGTGTTTGGTGTGACATTGTGACGTGCACACGTCATGAGTGTGCAGTGGAATGTGCAAAATAATTTACCGATAGCCGACGCGGGCGTAGGACGTTTGTGCGTCGCTATTGTTACGAATGACCTTTTTTTTTTATATAGGCTGTTTGCGCACAGCTTTTGATATAAGAAAACATTTTTTTTCGATAAAACGTGATTGTCTCAGATTGTCGTAGACTATTGGCTAAAAATTTCGAAATTTCAAGAATTTTGATCGAGTAAGTATTCAAAATAAAAATATTTTTAAACCAGAGATGCACGCTCACATTGATGTGTTATAATTGGTGTATCATATACGCATTCACGTCACATTCCTAAAGTGACTCACTACAACTGTTGAAGCATAATATAGTCAAGGCTCGCGATGCGCTACAAACGACCGACCAAATTTTTTATCCGGAGGATTAATCATGCACAAACGATAAAGTCAGATCATGTTGTTCTGAAATAAGGATTTAGCACCGAAGAAAATGGTGAGACACTTTGAGAGAATAAAATATATTAAAGAACTCGCGTTCCGAACAGGGCATAGGAGGGTTGAAATTTTGAAACTAATTAAAAACTTAATATCAATAATTCTAACCTAATTTTATCGCAATAACTGTGATACCTTATTTCATTGATTTCTGAAACTGCCAAAACGTTTTTATTCGTGCCGTAGAAAAGCGTCCACCAACTACACTACGCCGTAAAATATTATTTAAAGGGCATCAGTCGTGGAATGCAAATTCACACCCCCTCGCAGCCAGCAAATCACACACCCAAATCTAATGTTACAAAGACGCAAAATATAATAAATAAATGGTAGGTGGGTACCCAAGTGATCGGCGTCCGGTATATTATTACATTATTATGATATTGTATCTCAGATATTAACGCGACGGAGTTAAGCTACACGACCTACGTCACTGCATTATCGTCATGTCAAATTTTGCGTTCGTATTACCATATACCAGGTGTCGTGTATACCATTGATTTACTCTCGAGTTTCCCCTTGTGCGAGCGACCGTCGTAAAAAACGTGGATACCTGCCTATAATATTATCGTATAGGTTTCGATCCTTTTGTAAGCGCACTTTTTAATACAACAATTCTCGCCTCTCGCGGGATTAACAGATTAATCAAGGCGGATATAATGTTATTTTTGACAGGAGTCAAGCACACTCCGGCGCCGAAACCGCCTCGAGGTAATTTTCGGCAAACCTCTGCCGGCTCTACCCAACTAATTATAATAATATTATACTCCGCACAGTAGCTAATCGAAAAGTAAATCCCAGAAATCGACTGGTTCTTAACAAGTTTCGCAATGAGAAACACATCACGGCCCTAATGGATTGTTATTATTATTTTATGGTACAACGCTTTTCCCAAAATATAATATGAGCACACGTAGTGACGTGTTTAATAATACAATATATGTAGAAGCGCCCAATCGCATTGGGCGTGTCAACTGTGTCAAATTTAATTTTCTGAAAAAATCACCCACATCCGATGGTCAGTATATAGATAATAATATGGCAATTATTATGATAAAATGTTTTGCAATGATGATAATATATATTGTACTTTAATAGTCCAGTGCTTAAATATAGCATGCGGATTACGAAGTAGGTAATAAAATAGCAATACGATAATAATTTACAGTCCTCAACAACCTAACAAATTTGTAGGTATTTATTATTTTATTAAAGTTTAAAAAATTAGATATTCGTTTTTTGCTTTACGTAACTATAATCAGATTGTTGACGTCGGGGTTGATGTGGTCGTCGTTTTTCGCGATATGATTAAAATGCAATTATAATTATTGCACACTTCTATGTAATTATAAAATATACCTCTACTACTGTGGTTTATAATTTATTGTTTAATATTTAGTATAATACAGTACCCGTACAAATAATTACAAGGAAGGTATACAGCAGTTTTGTTATAATTTATAAAGTAATATTAATTATTTTTAATTGTTTTCGATATTTGAAGTGACTTATACATTTTAGTTATTTGAAAACAATGCCCATAAGTTCACTAGAGGCAACCAATCATCAGTCATCAGTTAGCATTCAAGTTATCAATTTATTTATCATCAGTTCACGCAATACTGTGTGTTTTGTTCATTTCAATTTCATTGATGAAATTGTTTTTATGTTTTTAAAACAAGAAACAAAATTGCTACTGTAAATTGTTTTCAAGTCAATTATATTTTTCATTGGCTTACAATAAATTATATTTTTTACTGTCGTTTTACATAGTATCTTTTTTTTTTTGAAATGTCGAATAGAAATTAATAATATTGACGACCTTGAACCACAATCATTTGCGTAAACAAAAATTTCTATTAATCTTTAAACTAAGAATTCAAACATATTTTGGAAACGGTATTATTTCATTACGGGCTAAATGTTTTTTAATCAATAGGTGCACATTTTGTTAGTAGGCTTTTATGATGATTATTTAACTTTTATACAAACATAACTATTTATAAATGTAACAAAATGTAAAATAATTATATTTATCTTAAATACCTACTTTAGCTTTTTTGAAAATGCAGTTACAGTATTGTGGTGCAGCGATGCAGCATATTTTCAATGACGTCATGCATAACCGAGAGCGTTATAACTAGGGTTGGGAAAAATGAATATTTTTTAAGCAATTATCCTCAAAAAGGAAACGAAAAAAAAAAACAGACGAAGGTACAATGTAGGTACACAAAATTAAAAATACATTCATCACTAACTCCTAAAGAATTAAACTTTAATTTAGTACAATATATAGTAGCGTACCTACACTTGTTTTTTTTCTATAAGCAAATTTAAAAACTCGTATCTTCTCAAAAAAAAAAAAAAATACCTTGCCTAAGTACGTTCGTGAAGACTTCGCACACCGGGATAAACTACAATCTAATAAGCTATTAATCGACGTAGGTTATGCGCATTGATCGGTTTGACATTATCAATTTTACGAAATCTTCAGTGACCGAATCCGGCGGCAAAAGGGCTGCGGTTTCACGAAAAAAATACTCTTATGCCTATATTATTATATGCTCCTGTTCACCGGATTATTATTTTCGTACTGCCATAATGCGCGTATTATACTGTGCGCATATACACGTGACACGCGCATTTTTAGACACACCGGAAAATATGGTAAACTGTGTCTGAAGACTTCCCGCAGTCGTTCAAAAGTTCCTCGTGTCTTTGTCGTTTCCGAGAATAAAGTCGTAGTCTGCTTATAAGCACGGCAAAACAGTGTGACGTCATATACGCGTACACAATTTTAATTCTTATATAGGCCGGGCACGCTGCGATGTACACTGAGCGGGGCAAATGCAGTTAATCGACCGCGACACTTTGCCGCCCGCCGTTATAAGCATAAACGCGCGAGAG